CTAAAAACATTATAATTACTAACAATCTCTACCTAAAAATAAACAAGAAAAATAAAACAACTAAATAAAAATCAAGAACAAGAATCAAACATTTAATGATTTCGGATACGAAAAATATCAAACAAATTACGGACAATAAATGAGACTCAAACCCACTAACCGGATCGAAACGACGAAGAACTTGGATGAAAACAAATCTGCTCGGAAACAATTATCGCACCAAAATAATTCGAATTGGCCCGGAAACTTAAACAAAGACGAAGCTCGATGGAGGGGTGTTTAGCGACGACACGAACTGGATGAAGCAAGCAGCAGCGACGTTCATGGCTGCTTGGAGAAGATGGCGACGATGAAGGCTATTTAGCAGATGGTCGTTTAGTCGACGACACAGGCGGCCATGGGAGGCGAGGTTGAACACAGAAGCAGCAGCAGCTGGAGAAGCAGACGACGGACGGTGGTGAGGCAGCAGCGACGCGGGCAGCAGCAGGCGCAGTAGTGGAGGAGCAGCGATGCTGGACGAGGCAGCATGAGAGGTGAAGCAGAAGAAGCAACAGGTCGTGAGGAAGATGAAGGTGGTGGTTTAGGTTATGGTGGNTTTGGGTTATGGACCGAGTCGACCCAGTTCAAAATGGACCGGGTCATGGGGAAGGTTGGGAAATTTTTGGGCCTGTGGCTTGAATTTGAAGAAGAGCCCAATTCCGATTTTTGTATTTTTGCTCTCTTTTCTTCTTTTATTTTTCTAAAACTAAATTCTAAAAATCCTTAAATTATTATATAGAACTAAATTAAGTTATAAAAGCGCAAATTAACTCCCCATAACAATTAACACACAATTAAGTAATAATTTAGCATAAAATTGTACATTTGGACATTAAATGCTAAAAATGCAAAAAGATGCTTATTTTTGTAATTTTCAATTTTTGTAAAACAAACTTAATTACTAACAATTGTAGAATTAAATCTTACATGCAAAATGCGACATATTTTTTTGTATTTTTTATTAATTTAACAAATAAACATGCACAGACAAATACAAATAATTATCCAAAAATGTCACAAAAATTCTCAAAATTGCACACCAAGGAAAATCATTTTATTTTGAATTTTTTGGGAGTAATTCTCATATAGGGCAAAAATCACGTGCTTACACTCTACACACAGCATCAGCTGTCAAATGAACTTTTAATCTTTGCTTCTCAGGCACAACAGGTGTTTTATGTCCATCATCTATTGGATGAGGAGGAGTGGCAAAGTGTTATTAAATGTAAGCCAAATGACTTTTATGATTTAGGTGCACACAAGCAACTGGGCATATGGAAGGCATGAACAACAACTAGATGATACTACATTTGAAAGTGAAGAAGATATTGAATAGGTTAGGGAAAATGTGCCAGGAATAAAAATTGACCCACAAACTCTGAAAAGTACTGAAGCATTTGATGAAGATTATGAAATTAGTTCATAATATCATTATTGTATTATTTCTATTTTAATAAAGATTGTTATTGAATAGAGAACAGATTGATATTTCTTATTATGCCATTCAGTCGTTGAAATCTCTTATGCTTACATATTTTATTGTTTAACTTGGTAGTTAGATATTATTTCATACATTTCGATAGTAAAAATTATTTTTTAATTTGACAGGAATCATAATTTTTGAGCAATTTAATTGAGATGACAAGAAAAAGACAATGAAATTCTAGTCAAGGTGGGCTTTTATCCAATTCTTCGGAGCTACAAGAACAACAAATGGGAGGTACGACAATGCCCTAACCACCTCAAAACTAGCCACAAAATGAAAGATAAGCTATCCGATCTGGTAACTTGTCAAGAAATGATTTACATGATGTAGAAAATCTCTCAGGTACTAAAGTAATATCTTATCTTTAGTTTGTAGTATGAAGTTGCTAGGGTCCTAGTCAGATAAAACCACTGCTAGGGAGAGTATTTAATGTTATTTAAATACTTTCCCATTAGTAGACTTCTAGCATGAGACTCGATCTAGTTATATAGTTGATTTTTACTAGTATGAATGCCCTACTTTTTTTCTTTGATTATTTGCAGATTCTAATGAGTGAAGAAAAATCTGAGCGACCAAGGTGTCCCACTATGATGCACTTAGGATGGGAAAATGATGGTAGAAATTTACATGTTGAGTTTAGATTGAGTTCTAAACTTGGTGTCATAGCATGAAATGGCATCTTAGTGGCATTGAATTTGGAGGCTTCTGCCTAATATGTTCAAGGATATAATATGGGCTCATACTAAGGTGCTTAATACTAAACCAAACACTATATACTACGATGTTTTTATTTTTATATTTTTTACATAAATGAGTTGTGTTAAATATGTGTATAGAAAAATACCGATGCAACTGATCAGATGATATGAGACATATGTTGATGATATCAGTTGGATCTAAATGGAAAGAATGGAAGCATGAAGCAAAAAGATGTGGTTATGAACCATATGGTACTGATATTGAGCTCTTAGCTCATCATTCGAATAGGGTTGAAGAAGATCAGTGGTGGCGTTCATTAGTTCATTATTAGAGCTCAAATGCTGCAAAGGTATTTCAGAAATATAAAACATCTTCTTCCGTTGCCATTTAGGCCTCTATCATTCTTATCACTGAATCTCTGTTCTTAATGTATTTTTTTTTTTTTTTTTTTTTTTTTG